CGGCCGACTTCCCTGCCACTTGTCTGACGCTACATGTGTGTGTGGATGTGGATGTGGGTGTGTGCAAAAACACCCCCGCGCATGCGCCCTCCCTCTCATCCAAAGGAGGAGGCGTCCCTGGCGTGTCCCACGTTCTGGTGCGGGGGGGTTCGTACGTTCGACTGCCATCGCCTCACGTGGAGATTGCGCGAAGCGCGAATGCGTTGGCATCCGAGCGGGACTTTGCGCCCGATCGGCCGCCCGACAATTAGCCACAGCCGCCGCCGAAGCCCCGGGGGACGGCCTGTGAACTGTTGCTGCGCGTGATTACCCGGCGGGTGGACCAGATTCTGGTGTCTGAGACCCGGTAGCCCGGCGGCCCGTCCCGGAGGCTACCTCCCTCCCCCCGGGCCGGCGGCCTCTCGCCGAAGGGGGACACGCCAGGCGTGCCCTAGCGCGACGCCGCGCGCACACATCCACACAGACACGGAAAACAGACAGACACACGCACAGGCCCCGCCACTGGCCCAGCCACAAGTGTATATGTCTATTGAGGGGGGGGGAGGAGGAAGAGAGGGGGGGGGAGAGCAAGGGGCACTTACGCGCGCGCGAGGGGCATACGCCACCGCGCCAAAATGCAAAGGACGGGGGGCGGATATTGTGAAGGGGATGAGGAGCAGAGAGGGAGAGGGGGAGGGGGGGGAAGAGGGACGGGGAGAAGCAGGCGGGAAGGCAGAAGCTGGGGAGGGAGACAAGAAAAAGGGAGGCCGACCGCGTGCGCGCGGCCCCCTTTCATCCGGGATTTGCCTGGCCGGCTCTCGCTCAAGGGTTGAGGAGGCGCTTGCACCACTCGTAGACGAGGAAGTTAACACCCATCAGGGGGACCACCTTCAGGTAGTTGGGCAACATGCCCTTAAAGAGGCCGCGTATCCCCTCCACACGGGCGATGGTCCGGAAGGCGTCAAGGGTGCTGGAGTAGCGGTACCGGCAGTCGGGCATGCCCATCATCTGCATACGCCGACGAACCAGATCCAGGGGGTAGGTGACTGCGTGGGTGTGATGCGGGAGGGGAAGGGGGAGGCCAGCGTAAGGGACCAGGGGGAAACATATGCATGCGATGCGTGTGTGTAGGGGGGAGGGGGGGGGGGAGCACGGCGGGCAAAGGGAAACGCACAGGTCTGCGCGGTGGCACCGGCCACGGCACCGGAGAAGAACTTCTGCAGGCCGGTGGGCTGGATGCTCTTCGGGTCGCGGTGGTGGTTCTCATCCTTGAGAGCCTCCTGCTCGGCGAAGAAGCGCCGCAGGGTCTCGTAGGTGGTGAAGTTGATCGCCACATAAGGGGCCACACCGAGCAGGGTGGGCGACAGGCCGCGGTAAAGGCCGCGCACGCCGCCCTCATGCTTGTACACCTCGGCGATGGCATGCCACATGGAGCGATAGCGGCCTGAGAGAGAGAGAGAGAGGGGGGGGGGAGGGGGAGCCGGACCGGCAGACGGGAGAGCGGGGCACAAGCCGGCGGGGCGGGGACGCCTGGGTCAGGAGGGGGGAGGGGGGGCGCTGCGAGGTGGAGGGAGCCGGAGTGACGAACCGTCGGTCTGGACGGACAGCCGGGTCCGAATGATGTCCAGTGGGTAGGTCATGGTGGAGGAGGTGATACCGGCACAGGCACCGGCAATCAGGCTGGGGACCGGGGCGAGGTACTCGGTCCCGGTGATGGAGAGGGCAATCTACAGGCCGGCAGGTGAGTAGGGGGCGAGGTGTGTGCATGTGTGCGCAGGCGCATGGGGAGGGGGAGAGAGAGAGATAGACGGAGAGGCAGGACAGCCGCGCATGCGAGCAGAGAGGGCAGGGGGGAGGGGGGGGGGGGCGGGTGCGGGTGCGGGTGCGGCGGGGAATTCGGCGCACCTTCTTGTACTGAGAAAAGGAGGCGAACTGAATGGCCGAGTAGGGGGCGATCCGAATGACGTTGGTGCCGTTGCCCTTGAAGAAGCCGCGCCAGCCCTCCTCGGTGGCGATCTTACGCAGGGTGGGCACGATGCCGCGGTAGGCGTCGGCCGCACCATCCTGGACCTGTGCACGATCCAGGAAAGGTGTGTACATGTGCATGTGAGGAGGGAGGGGGGGGGGGGGAGGGGCGACAGTAGGGCGGGTGGGTCAGCACTCGCGGGCACGGGCACGAGGCGGAGCCGGGGCAGGGGGGCGGCAAATGGCGGGCAGAGGGCGCACCTGGAAGAGGATCTTCATGCGCTCAAGCGGGGAGACCACCGTACGGGACACGGCGCCGGCGACACCACCGGCCAGAAGGTCCTTGAAGACAATGAAGAAGTTGCTGCCGGCAGGGCCCGGGACGGCGGCGGCGGCGACGACGACGGGCTTCGGCGGGGCGGCCTGGGGGGCGGCCTCCTGGCCGGCGACGGAGGGAGCAGTCGCCTGGGACATGGCGGGG